GAGGCCTGCAGCAACGGAATGTCATTTGGGAATGTCTAGCACACTCATGTCCCATAAGCAAATGCAAATGATTTAGCAGCAGTACTGACAGAGAGTTCTTGGAAGAAAACATTCCAGTGCTCACCACTCCGAATCTCTTAATGTAATTGCCCCAAGAAAGGCTGGGGGAGTTGAATTTTGGCCACCCAAGATCTGGGATAATTCCCCTCAGTTACCTGTAAGAATAAACTGCAGTTTTGACCTAATTTACAACTCTTCCCTATGGCTGAGTGGGGACAAGTACTCTCTGCGTCCCGGAGAAGTCTAGACGTTAAAAGTGACCAGGGTAATTGTGAAGTCTTTCCAAGAACCTGCCGCCTCTGTCCTGTGGCACTGACTCTGAAGTGGTCCTCGCCAGCCCAGATGGTCACATCTGCTGCTGTGAAAATGACCACTTGGCTTTTCCACCAAATCAAGTGCCTGGTCAGATCTGCTGTGGTCTTCAAGTTGGTATCCCTTCAACACTCGTGGGCAAATTTAATTCCAATGCAGTAGTATTAAGAAGAGAGACCTTAGTGGTTAGCCACAAAGGCGCCCTGCTCATGAATTAGACTGGAGCCCTTACAAAAGGCTGGAGGGTGGGGCAGGACCCCTTCCTTCTGCACCCTCTACCATGTGAAGACAGCACAAGGCACCATCTTTTAAGGAGAGAGTAAGCCTTGCTTGACACCAATCCCACTTGGACCTTGATTTTGGAGTCCTCAGTCTTTGCAATTGTACAAAGTAAGATCCTAGTATTTGTAAGTTACCAGTCTAAGATATTTTGTTACAGCATTCTCCGTGGACTGAGAGAAAACCGTGCCCTCTGTGTATTCATCCCACTTTCTCCAGTCTTTCTCTTAGCTCCAGAACAATGAAGAAAGCTTAAAGCCTCTCTTACTCTGTTATAGGAACCAAGTTCCTCCATGCCCTTGACCATCCGAGAATGGCAGGCTGCGTGGGCTGTGCCGCATTCATTTCAGTTAGTTACCTTGTTCTCTTGGCCTTTTCAGCACTTTGGTTATGTCCGTGTATCAAACTCTGCCCCTTGCAGGCCAAGAATACCTGAGAAGAAGGATTTGGCACTTTCCATCTTTGTAATCTGCCATCTGCCAGAACACCCTTGGAAAGGAAGCAAGAGAGGATAAAGCATGACAAGCGAACATCCTGACTTGATGGTTCGGATACCTGGGTCTAGTTACAAATCAATAAAATGTCAAGAAACAGAACTTCAGGGGCTTCTTGGAAAGTCTTTATGCCCAAGTGGAATCTCTGATATAAAGCTCTGATAGCCTTTCTTCCTGCAAGATCTGCCAAGGTGGTGTCATCTCTTCTTCTGTTACTCGGAGCTTTTGCTCTGACCCTTGTTACCCTACATCAGGTAGCCTTCCCGGACAGATCGTGTGCCAAGCTGGGCCCAAAGGACAGACCCCACCTGTGCTCAAGGATCAGACGCCCACTCCCGGACTCCATCTGGTCTTTAAGCTGTGTGCCATTGACTGTGGCCCTTCCTCCTCTCCAGGCCAGAGGACCCTCTCGGCATATTTCGCTTGGTCTGACCTCAGGTCTCTACGTTTCTGTGCCTGCTATTTCAGAACCCAGTTAAAGTATTGTTTTAAGAAGCTTTCCTAAGGAACCACAGCCCCACTGCTCACTGGCACTCTGTGCGCTGTCCTTGCCTGGGTGCCCCATCTGTACCACATCCTCACCACCTCCTCCCCTCACCCATTCCTTTTGTCCATGTGTTTTCAGCCACCTCCTCCCAGGTGCTAGGCCCACACATACTAAGAGGCAGAGCTGAGACTCTAACTTAGGTCTCAGCAACCAACCGGAGACCCCAGATCTCGGTCACAACCCCCCAGTGCTCCCCTCTGAGGTGCATAGAGGGGCAGGGCCTCCTGGCTTCCGAATTTGCTTCCTATCTGTGACGAGAGAGGTGGCCTCATCCAGAAGAGCGAGAGTCTTGCCAGTGGGGTGCAGACGGCAGTGTTCTTCTGTCCAGTAGCTTCCATCTGCCATTCTAAGAATGGAACTGCCGTGCCAGCCCCAAAGGGTCCGATGTGGACCCTTCCGTCAGTGCCTCCTTCCCTCCCAGGTGAGTGTCAGCCCGAGGCAGGGCTGGCTGGCTGCAGAGACGGAATCTCTGGATGTGGGCCTGAGGCTTTGAGTTCACTCCTAGTGGGTGACCAACACAGGCTGGTTATTTGTTTTATGGTAATGATCTCCACCAGACTCCAAACTCAGAGCCACAGCCGGCACGCCACGCGGCAGGCTTTCCTCTGGGTGCAAGAGGATTTCCTTCGTTTGGTGGGATTCATTTGTTTTTAAACCAGCCTGTTTATTTTCTCTCCCTTTAATGTTATCCTTTTTTCAGACTCATGAGGAGGATACATAATGTACAGCCGAATCTGCAATCTCTTATTTTGTCAGCTGGTTGTGTTGATTAAAACTTCAATAAAGATCCTGTGATAAAACAGAGCTGTGTTCAAAGGATCTTGTTATGTTTTTAAAAGTCTGAGCTTGGCAGAAAAGATGTAGAGTATAGGTTTGCTACCTTGATATTTTCCCCATTTCCCAGGTTAAAGAGGGGGAAGGCGGCAGAAGGAACCTAGTAGTTTCTAGTACCTGCGGGACAGAGGCACATGTCGAACCAAGTCCCGAGTAATGAACAAGGCCCGACTGAAATGACAGGGAGATTGTGTCTCAAACTGGTGCCATGTGTGTGACCCAGGGACCCGGTCTTCCCGGAGTCTCGATGGACAGCTGCTCGGCAGAAGGCCGACTTAACACAGAGGGAGAGAAGGGGCTGCAGGAATTCCAAAGCCTCTGCTGCAGCCAACCACCAAGACAATCGTTTCAGCAAGGTCCCAGTGCACTGCCAGGAGCACAGTGCTGCAAAGACAGAGGTCACTCAGAGATCCCGAGAGGGGGGTGTCGGCGGTGCCACCCCCCTTCTCCCCAGACAGCTCCTTCCTGGCAGCCACCAGCCTCTCAACTTATTCTGAAAGAAGCCAAGAAAGGACTGTGTGTGAAAATCAGGCTAGCCAAAGTCGCTGACTTTATGCAAAGCAGGCAAGTGCAGTCAAAACACTTAGAGCAATCAATTCGAGTTGTTGGGTAAAGTTTTTTCCGTGTCCCATACATTATTGAGCAGTTAATTTCATCTCTGTGCCTGCAAGACACTCAGCTCTCAGATGACAGCTTTATCCATTAAGGAGCGTGGTGACAGCTCTGCAGCGAGAGCCCTCCAGCCTGGCCTGCCGGGAGGCGCGGCTGCATCGCTGTGGAGAAACCTGGGAGCATCAACGTCTTAATCAATATGCGAGAGTCAATTACCGGGGAGGCGCAGGCTAAGCAGGAGCCCATGATGAGGCTCGCGTGCAAATGGGCTTGATGAATACGCACCGCGTCGCACACGGCCCATGGCACCAGCCCACCTGTAACCGCCTCCCTGTCTCTCTGGTGCTGCCCAGTGAGTGTGCCAGAAATTGTGGAATGGGGTGAGGGGGCAGTCATGGCCAAAGCTGCTGTCGGACACGCGTGCAGGGCCGGCCGGGCACCTCCTCCTGGATAGCCACCCGCCCGCTAGCTGAGAAGGGTCCCTAGAGCCCTGACCCATGCCTTGCCTCTCTGCAACCTACACTCATTCTATCATTTCTTATTGTTTTTCTTTTTTAGTGCCTATTTATGCTAGAGAATGGTGGGATTTGTCTTGGGAAGTTAGTGTACGCGAGCACTGAACACACCTTGCTCATTTTCAACCCCATTATCCCGCTTCTTGTCTTCAAAAGTCTACCTCCCGGTTTTCTGTCATCTCTCCTTCCTCCCTCCCTTCCTACCTTCTCTCCTTCCTTCCTCCTTCCTTCATTCCTTCTTTCCTTTCTTTCTGCTCTAGTTCTCTCATATAAGAGAAAACCTGTGGTATTTAACTTTCCGAGTGTGGCCTATCTCACCTACTATGCGTTATAAGTTAGATATAAAAGTCCCCCAAAGTCTAACGTTGTCGGGAGGTGACTGGATCCTGGGGAGCTGTGTGCATCAGGAGATTTAGCACTGGTGAGCTCAGGAGCTGAATGCGCTGTGAGAAGGTGGGGCCTGGTTGGAGGTGTGGCCTGGAAGCGTGCATTCTTGTGTCAGTGCGCTCTCGCGCTCTCTCTCTCTCTCTCTCTCTCTCCCCTCCCCCTCCTCTCTTTCTCTCGCTCGCTCTCACTCTCGCTCTCTCCCTCTCCCCTTCCTGGCTGCCATTGGATGAGCAGCCTTCCTCTGCAAGGCCCCTCCACCAAGCCTTTCTGCCTTGGAGCCAGCCCACTTCAGACTGAACCCACTGAAGCTGTGAGCCAAATAAACCTCCCCTCCTTCAGTCTGTGGCTGTTGATGTTTTTATCCTAGCAACAGCAAAGCAACTGATACGACATGGTAGCTTCTGGTGCCATCCATTTTCCTGCACTTGGTACGACTTCACTCTTCTCTCCGGCTCCATCGTACTCTATTGTGTACATGTGCTGCCGCACTTTCTTCTTAACTGGCATCTAAGTTCATGTGCCGCTTTTGTTTCTATCTTTCATTAGATATCAGTGAGATTATGTCACATGTGTCCTCAGAAATCATCAGTGTCACCTAGGTAACAAGACCCACCTCCACTGAACACTTTTAAGGCCTCTCATGGTCTGGACCCCATCTGAGCTTCATGATATCACTCAAACTTGCTTCTTTAAACACTGATGTGTTTTTACTCCTTCAAGTGAGGCTTTCTCTTCTTCACTCACTTCATCCTCTAAGGCCAGTGAAGTCTCTGATTTCCTGGTCCAAAGTTGATGACTTCACCATTACTGGTTTGAGATATATGTTTGGATTGAAGTTAGATGTTTATATATTTGTTTTTACTCATGAGATTATCTGTTCCATGATAACAGGCCTTAGGAGGTTGTTTGTGACATTATTGTTATTGTTTGTCACATGTCCCTAAATCCTTTCTTTTGTAGATGCTGCCGTTATAGTCCAGGGTGCATGGTCCCTCTGTCCTGCAGTTCCTGCCCCTTCTCACGCCTCCTTCTTCCTGCACCAACCTTGTTGCAAAATTCAGCCCCTATTGGACGTCCTGAAAAAGAATCTGTGAGCACAAGTACTCTGGTGAGTGGTATAGACTTCACTTCAGATTTAGGAAGGGGTCTACACATGCTAGCAGTCGGCAACAACCTAACTCTCCATGGATATTTCTTGTCTTCTTTGTCATTTGTGCAACTCAAAAACTCAGATGGACAATTTGGTGAGACGTGGCGTTCATGTACACAGGGAGAGTGAAATTCCAGCTCAGGAGTGACTGCCTCAGTCCGTGTACTGTGGAAGCTGGACCAGGTGCAGGTGGGGAGGGGAAGGTTAGGGTATGGGGAACCTAATGTCTTATACATCCACTTTCTAGAAAGCCTTTTCATGAGGGATAATCTACTCTTTGCAGCAGCCCTATGAAATTCACATCTTTAGCACCATTTCGTAAGCATGGAAACAGCACCCAGAAAGAACAGGGAAAAAATTGGGAGCAGCTGAATCACATGACTTGCAAATTGGAAGCCAGAATTCCAACTGGGATCTGACGGGCATGGGTTGAATGGAGGAAGAATCATTTCCTTTGGGTGCTGAGCACTGAGCATGTCCCTGGGAGGATCAGTTTCCCTTGGGCGTGGGCATGAGGTCCTATTGATGATGACAGCGCTGAGCTGCCATCTCCTCCGCTGACCACAAGCCCTTTGAGGTTAGGGAAAAGCCATTCCTCACACAGCAGCAACAGCAATGGACTCTACCATTTCTTGGACCGCCAGCTCTGTGCTGATAGCTTCCGTGAATTACTGCACTCATCCCTCCAGTCAGCACACAGTCCTGGCCCCGGAGAGGGAATAGGCACAGAAATTAAACAACCTGCCCACGCGGAAGCCCAGCTGGGGTGGCTCGTCCAGGTGGGATGAGCGTGAGACGGAGCATGTAGGAATGCTGTTCTTCATGCCCCGGGTCCTGCCTGCATAGCCTCAGTCACTACAGCAGCATCTATCCAGTACCTTCTCTCTACTAACTGCAGAGCAACTCGGACAAAGACATCCGATGCCCTGGAAGTAACCGACACCCGGGGCTGATGACTTCAGGAGATATTTCTCAGGAAGAACGGATCAGACTCTGCCTGATTGCCAGGGATCAGAGAGGTTGTGTGTGTGGACTCTGGAGAAGGACACACCAAGTTCTGAATTGAAAGCCACCTTCATAGTCCCACGTTCCAACATTGCCCAATTTGCTGGGAATAATGACAATATATCCGTGATAGGATTTTGACAAGAACTCCATGAGACTTTGAACCAGGAAGAAGGAAAGCACATGGCCCAAAGGCAGAATCCAATTAAAGGCATCTATTATGATTAATAAATAGCAAGCATTTTTAGTAACAGAAAAAATGTGAGAATGAGAATTGTTCAAGGATTTCACGTGTGGGTATTTGGGTCACTGGGGACAATTCGTACAGCATGGCGTTCTGGAAGAGAAGGAGTTTGTGGGTGGTGCGTTTGCTTTGTGGTGGGGCCGTTGTATTTAAACAGGCAGAGCTGGGCACACAGGACTGAAACCCTAAGGAGGGGTCAGCGTGTGGCATAGAGAGTAGCATAGAAATCATGGCTGAGACTGTGAGAATAAACAAGGAACTCTAGAAAGAGAATAGAAAGGAAGGACAGAGAGCAAGGGGCTGCCTTGGGCGGCTGCCTTGTTTTGGGAGCAGAGAAGGAAAAGTCAAAGTAAATATCCTGGTTGTCACATGGAGACGATGGGTTCTCGGGTGGCCTTAGCCAGCTGAGTAGCACATCCAACGTGGGCCACCAAAAGCCCGCTGTGCGGGCTAAATCTTAAGTGGTACTCACAGGAGATGTGCAAAGTTCCCGTGGCAACTTACTGAAAATCCCCACTCCAGTTATTTTCCACTCCTGCTGAGACATCCCTGTGTCCCTCAGGTTATGATGTAAATATTTTATGAAGTGCAGAGGGTTGTGATATCTTAAGACTTCAACTAAAAACTCATTTTTCTGAAAGTTAAAGGATGTGTTTTCCCCTTGCAAAAATATGAAACTCTACATCGGGCAAAGCAATGCAAGGGTCACATTGCAATATCTCATGTAACACTTTCCAGGGTAGTATAATTCCGTTCTCTGAGATGTTTATTGGGTCTACCTTCCATGTTTAACAATGAATAAGGACAGTGTCCAGAAAATAGTACATGGTGGATAAATGTGCTCTCTTCTCTTATGCAACAAAGGCCAAACTGTGGCCTATAGACAGAGGGAGGTAAGGCATTGGAGATATTTCCAGGCTAGACCAGACTCCACTAGCACAGATGCGGGGCGGGACTGAATTAAAGGCAGTAGGGTACAAAAGATATTCTGGAAGGAGGCTAGCGAACTCTTGACAGTAAAATTGCAGGAGCCAAGGATGGGAAAGGCCCATACTTCACAAGTGGAGTAGGGCCATTGACACTGAAAGGGATCCTTTTGCTAACTGTGCAGAAAGACTTGAGTTCTGGAAAAGCTATTGACAGAATGACCAAGTGCCAGTGCTCTCAGATCACTGTGGCTCCAGATAAAACCAGAGTTACAAAGTGCCCCCAGGAGGAAAGTTACCAGGCCTTCTTGGTCTGCACCAGCTCACCGTCTTGAGCTTTTGGTCCAGTTCTTAGTGCTTCATTTATCTATGGCTTAGGAAATTGGCAGCTTTGGGGAAGCGTGATTTCTGGTACCAGAGAACACGGTGCTAATTCAAAGTCTGTGTCCCGGGCTTGGGCAGTTTTCATTTTTATCAGAAAGGGGTGGGCAACATGTGAGAAAAAAAAATTGGCCCTGTAAAGGGATCCTGAAAGAATGACATATTTGTCTGTTAAGTATAAATACGAACAGCCATGGAGATACAGCCCTGTGGTGCTAGGTTTTCACTCCAGCAACATTCATCTGTTGCCAGGAAATACTAGATTTAGTACCTGAGGGACTGGAGTTTCAAATACCTTATACTTTTTTTTAATACTCTGCCAAGAATTTAAATTGGTAAAAGCTGGGGACTGACAAAACTTGATCCCCAAGAGCTTTTCTGGCGCTGGTTTATCAGAGAATGTGGTGCCATTATTTTTATTATAATTTTTTTTTTTTGGTGGGGTGAGAGCTCATTTATAACCCAGTGACTTCTACTCCCAGATGTATTTTTCTTTAAGAAAAAAAAATTCCCAAAGCTTAAATAAACAGAGGTTTTGCCTTTTGTAGTGGTGTTAGAAGCTGTCGTTGGGTTTATGTGCGAGGGGTTGCAAGCCTGTTCATGCTTTTAGATCAGATCAGATCAGATCAGAAGAATTGAAAGGAGAGATCTGACTTTAGGGTATGTGTTGCCACCAGCTTCCCCTGCTCAGATTTTCCTCTCAAGCTTCTGTCCCCATCAAGACCTCTCCGCAAGACCAGAGCTATGCAAAGGTCCTGCCGGCACCTCAGGGGACAACTCCAGAAGAGCAGGACTGGGTGTCACTGAGGGTCTGGGTGTGAGCCTCTTCCTAGCAATGGAACTTCGGGCAACTTAGTCTCGCTTGGATTTTAACTGGATTTTCCTGAGATGGTTGTTCGGAGTGACAAAAGTAAACAAAATAGATAATGTGAAAATGCTTGCCACTGTTAGTTTTAAAAAGGACAATCTACAAGGGACAAGTCCGGGAAAGCGGGGTGAGGAGGCCGTGGAGCGGTACTGCAGGTTTCCTTCCAAGGTTAGGCTCTTGACGTAGTCTCCTAGCTGAGGAACCCACTACCATCACAGAGACACCCAAAGCAAGAAGCTGCTATTTCCGGCTCAATGTCTCCACGGCCCTCGCTGCTCCCCAGGCCATGTTCCCAGCTGCCTTCATAGCCTCAGATTTTTCCCACAGGCCATTTCCAGGGTCAGTTCACTGCCCCCGCCCAGGGCAGCAGTCTGAGCCCCTGTAACCCACTGGCATGTCCGAGCCGGCTAGAAATGATTCGAGTTTTATTGTACAATTAGACTAAGTCTCTTAGGTGTAGTAGCCCTCCTCCTGCTTAGAAGAATAGATTAGCCATTAGGACTTTGTATATTTTTCCCAGTAATTGACACCACATCCCATTTTCCTCACCAAAGGGAAAAGGAACTGCATGAAACAATCATGATTTGGGAGCCGAAGGGGGGCCAGGGCATCCACGTGCAACAGTGCCCCTTCCCCAGCCCCATCTGCTCTCTCGTTCTGGCTTTAAATATCCCTAGAAGGCTGGAGAAGAAACCTCATTCTGTTTGTTTTGTTGTTTCCCCTCTAAAGTCTCTCAGGCTCTACTCACTGAGCACTGTACTAAGAATAAGCATCACTTCTGCCACCAACAGGCGGCAGTCACCGCTGGACAGAGTCTGGACGTTCTTAGAAAGAGGGTGGAAACACCGCCTTGGCTTTCTTTCCTTTCTCTTTTCCCTCCAGGAGGTTCCAAGACAGGCCCGTTAGACACCTTTCCCCTCAGGACCGCATTTCCTGTCCTGGGTGAGGAAGGAAGGAGGCCATGGTGTGCTCTAGGAAGCAGGACTTGGGGCCTTGTGTTCTGAGTGGGAATGCATCCAAATAAGGGTTCAAAGCCCAGAGCTGCTTTTGTCCCCTCTGATTATCCCCTGCAAGTTCTGATTTCAGAACACGAAAACACCCAATATGCCAAGGGATTTAAGGAACACCCAGCGAGTAGCGACCTAGGTAGGCTTTGCCCCTTTGGCTTGGCCTATATTCTCAAACTGCCTCCATTTCACATCCAAGCCAAAAGCAGACACCTCAGGTCAGGCAGGCTATATCCGCACGAGCAAAACCGAGCAGATGTTCTCAGATGTCTGCTCCAACATTTGTTTCCTTTGGTCATGTCGTAGCAGCCCGAGTTCGGATTCCTGCTGCAAGGCTGGGTGGCACCAGCAGACGGTTTTTATGTTCCACAGAGTGCTAGAAAACATCTGTGAGCTCAAGCCCTTTCCCAACAGTAACAATCTTTGTGCCAAGGCTCGAGGGGCCCTCGACAGCTCCCGTAACTTCCCAGGGCCTCTCGGTGAGGCTGGCCACTGCAGCCACAGGCCAGAGCAGTCTGCAGGGAGAAGTGACTGTCACACACACGCAACCCGCCCACCCTTGCTTCCTGGATGGATGTCAGGTCTACAGCCGGCAGCACAGAGACGTGAAATGTTGTAAGTACATTTTTCAGCGTGGGTCGATGTGTCCAAAGGGACTCTTTGCTGACACGTCTAGGCTGATTCCTTGGAGAAAAGCTGAAATGCCCATTTTCCAATGAGATCGATAAACCCACTCAGCTCTGAACACAGAACTGTTTTCAGGTGCCTCGTGGCCTAGTCCAGCTGTGTTGGACTCTCATAGTGGGAGGGGACTCCAGGTGCCACCGAGCCTTTATCCTGCACCCTGAGTTTGTGTGGGGAGGAGAAGGCAACACCCGAAAGCTGTCCATTTGGTCCCTAAGGGCCATGGAAAGTGGCTCTCCTTGGCCACAAATGGTGATGACTTGTGAATGTGTCTGTTGTGCCCAGCTGCCTTCAGTAACTCCTACTGTTTTGAATAAAACGGGTCACTTCCATCCCCTCTGTGCCCTACCTCCTAGCACCCCTTTTAAACTGGAAGCGCAAAATGAAGCTGTAATCAGAACCTCGCTTGCTGGTTCTGAAAACAAGCAGATGTGTTTTTTTCCCACTTCTCAACATACATATGTCCCTTCGTTAATTGTAAAGATTTCTCTCCCAGCTCCCCAGCCCGCTGTCATTAGCTGGGAGCAAGTTCGGCTGAGCTTCCCCAGGGCTCCCAGCCCACACCTGAGGGCGAAGCAGGCAGTGGCTTTCTTCCCTCCCTTTCCCTGCTGCCAGAAGAAACCCAGCTGGGTCCCTCGGCAGACACAGGCCCTAATTTAAGAGTACAGCATTTTTACTGCTTTTGGCCAGGGTGTTTTGAGAAAGGTTAAAATATGTGAAAAAGACACGCTAAGAAAATCTGTTTAGAAAACAATTCCAGTCTCCGTGTTCCGCGCTTTCCACTTCTGGCCTCCTTTCCAGGAAAGCGGCTACAGCAACCACACAATTTAGCTCCGTTTTGGGGGTGGGGGGTTTCCATTTCCTTCCTATGGGATTTTTTATTAGTTTTTTTTTAAACTGTTTTTCTTTCCCTATGCTGGTTTACTGCCTTGTATCTATCTACCCCCAAGGAGTTTAAAAACCTCTAGTAAGTATTATTAGATTTTTCTGAGTTTATTTTCTGATTTTTCTGGTGAGAGTGTGTGGTCAGAGCCTGTGGCCTGCTTTTCGGTGGGGACCCAGGCTGTGTGCCAAAGCACGGAGGCCTCAGCACAGCCGCACCTCCCAAGTGAGTGTGGAAATGAACCGCCTGCCGTTTCGTTGTAGTGAAAACCTCACTGGTTAAAGCTTTGATGCACCCAGAAGGTTTTAACAGGGTCTGTTGTATGGATAAAGGAATGATAGAATATTAGGGACTATTTATTGAACAGAAAAGTTCACAATTGGTGTTTTATGTCATTTATCTCAACAGCACTACAGAGGAAGGAATTTCAAAAATGAAAAAGAATACACTCATTTCCTCCTCCTCTGATCACACATGGATTAAGGAAGGGTTGTAATTCAGGTCTGCCTTTCCACTGGAAATTATCTAA